ATCTGTTGTTCCTCCTCACGAGGAACTTCATCTTCTTTGAAGTTTTGGATCGGTCGTCTCCTTCATCATCAGGACGTGCAGCGCTGAGCTGGCGTTGCTATCATTTGAGGCCGCTGGTTAAGATTGGCAAGTTGTGACAGTTGTGGGGTTACTACTGCTACGACAGCCATAGCTAGGGTTATGTCGTGGCGAGGAGGAAGAAGGAGAGTCCTGCATACTTCGTTGAACACTTGTTTTTGGTTGTTCGGGGTTGTTGTAACAGGGTTGTGATTCTTGGAAGAAGTATTTTGGATTCATTGGAGGAGGACGGGGGGGAATTCAGCCCTTGATATCTGGATTGTGAAAATTTCAGCCCTTGACGGCTCAATTGCAATCAGACTCGTTCTCAAACACACCTTTCATGCATGTAAACAGCAACGCAGCATACAGGCGACATGCGCCCACCCAAAACTCAAAGATATGGCTTTCAGATACGAGTCCACTCTCAAATGGCTATGGCGACTTCAGCGCCCAAACATCTCATTGTTCACATACACTGGATCACCCTGGATATCCCACACGCATCACCCTAACACTCGAACACACACACACACTCACTACTAACTACAGCTATGGCAGCTATCGCTGCATCTAACCTATCGCTATGCTAGCTCCCTCTCTCTTGCCCACTGCGTCCTCCAGGCTCATCTGCAGACCTCCTTGCACAAGTCGTTGTGGCAGCGTTTCCGCATGGCTCCCGCAGGAATGAATGAATGGCTGGGCGCTGCCTCTTGATTTATACTTCAGAAACTCGTTGGTCTGCCCTTTGCCATCGGCCCTTGGTGCTCACAGTCCCCCTRTGGTACTTGCTGGACCRGACTGGGACTGACTGGACCTTCCGCTGACTGACTGTGGACTCACCGCTATCCTACCGACGTTGTACTGCTGTTGCACTGCGGTTTAGTCCACCACTTGCCTCACCACTTGACCACTTGCCCACTTGCCTACCTTCTAGAAGGTCTACAGCTAAGCTTTCGGAACTCACTAAGACTCCTACGCTATAGACCTATAGATCGAACCCCTGCTGCCTATGGACCTATGACACGCCTACCAACTGCCTACGAATACACAGGTCACATGTTCAATTCTCGGGGTCTACACAGATACTGTACATGGGTAGGGTAAGGTCTAGGGATCGAACCCTGGGTACTGCATCCGCTACTGCTAAAAGGTGCGTTTCACTCCCGCCGTCCTAAATTCGAGGTCCTCCAAGAAAATTTCAGCCTAAGGCGGGACCTTTACCTTTCTTGTCACGCTCATAGGCTCTGACTATGTCGGGAGCGGTCGTCTTCTGATTCCTGATAGGCAAACCAGACTTTATATTGTTTCTGGGGACGAACTCTACCTCCTGTCCTAAACACATCCTCTTCTACAATGCCCTCTATGTCATAACTTCCATCCATATTCAGTGGCATCATGGATCTCCTGGAAGGGAACTGGTGACTTGTGACACACGGCAACAGATTTGAAGCATGAAACACAGGGTATGCGTGGAGGTGTGCTGGAATCTCAATGCTGTAGGACGGTCCATCCTCTCCGCCCTTAACTTCTAGAACCGGCCACGGTCCTCTATATGCAGGCAGTAACTTCTGCGAGATGTTTTCTTCCGGTKCRAACTCTTTTGCYTTGACCCAGACTAAGTCGCCTACTTGAAACTGTGATGGGCGACGGTGCTTGTTAGCCTGCTCTATCATTCTGTGTTGGGCCTTCCGAAGGTTCTCAACAACAGTGGCTAGCTCCTTTTTGTGTTGTATCGCAAACTCCCTGGTACTGGGCGGTAATTTGTGAATCTGATCCCGGTTCAGTCCTTCGAACGGTCTGCGCAGTCTAAAGGACTTGTGCAACTCATTGGGAGTGCGGCAGGTGGATAGATGCACGATGTTGTTGTATGCACTAGCTACCTTAGGCAACATCTCATCCCAGTTAGTCTGATCTGGTCTAATGTACATGCGCATAACTTGCTGTAGGATCTTGTTCATCTATTATGTCTGACCGTTAGTCTCTGGGTGACAGCCGAACGACATTAACAACTTAGATCCGTAGACTCTCATGAGTTCTTGCTAGTTCTGGCTGGTGAAACGACTGTCTCTATCACTAACTATTGACACTGGGATTCCATTCTCACTAACTCAAAAGTCAAAAAACTTCTGTATAACTAAGTCTGTACGTGCCTCTGCAGGCAAAGGAACAATAACTGCATATTTGCTAAAACAATCAACTACGACCATGACTCGGCTCTTACCATGTCTACTCTTGACTTGGGTGTCCATGAAGTCTATGGACACGGAGTCTCCCGGCTGATCCGGAATAGGCAAGGGTCTGAGAAGACCTAGGGGCGCGCGTGTGGTAGACCTTTTCCTCTGGCGCACTTCACAACTGCGGACATACTCTATGCAGTCATGGCCAGGTATACGCACGCATCAGGTTGGCTAACGTCTTTTGCCAACGGAAATGCCCTTCAGTATCGTGGCATTCCCCTAAAATCAAACTGCGGGTCTCTTCGCTGTTGGGAACGCACAGGCGGTCAAACACATTAGTCTTCTCAAACAGCAACCCGTCTGTAGTGCGGTAGTCTGGTTCAGTCTCTGGGGCCTCTCTAACTCTCTTTAGGAGGTCGCTATARATAGGGTCCTGCGCATATGCTTGCCTCACTTTCTCCTGCAGGTCTCTCCCTAYATCCAGATAGTGTACTACAGCTCCAAAGTAGTCTGATCTCCTACTCAGAGCATCCGCAACTACGTTGTACTTGCCCTTCACTGGTTTGAGCTCAAAGTCGAATTGGTCTATCTCTGCGGCCCACCTAGTCAACTTAGGTGTCATCTTGGTCTGAGTTTTTAACCATCTAAGCATTTCATGATCCGAATACACTTTGAAGTGCCTCCCAAGCAGGTAGTGCTTCCAATGGTCTAAAGCCTGCCTGAGAGCGTAGAGTTCTCTCTCGTACGTGGAGGCAGCAACCTTTTCACAAGGCATCCTCGTTGACATGAACTCTACGGGTCTATAGCCATTGTCATCGTCGTGCTGCAACACGGCGCCTATCCCATACTGACTCGCATCCGTGGTGACGACAAATGGCAAAGACGGATCTGCAACTTTGAGGATAGGATACTCTATTAACGCGCGCTTTAGCGTCTTGAGCGCAGACGTACAGTTTTTGTCCCATTACCAGATTGCCTCTTTCTTCAGCAATCGGCGCAAGGGAGCGACGATAGTGGGGAAGTTTCTCACGAACTTCCTATAGTAGTTAGCTAAGCCTAGGAACGACCGCAACTCTGTCAATGTGCGGGGCGTCGGCCAATCTCTAATCGCCGCTATCTTGSTGTCCTCTGGCTTAATGCCATCTCCGTCCAACACATGGCCCAAGTACAAGACTTGCGTCTTGGCCCACTCGCACTTCTTSGCATTGATCTTGAAGTTAGCCTCTCTAAGCTTCTCTAAGACATGTCTCAGATGACCCTGGTGCTCCTGGAGGGTCTTACTAAAGACTAGGATATCATCTAAGTAGACTACCACAAATTTATCTAACCACGGTCTAAACAGGTCATTCATACAACGCTGAAAAGTAGCTGGCGCATTGGTCAGTCCAAAGGGTATCGTTATAAACTCATAATGCCCATATCTAGTCTAGAATGCAGTCTTGTACTGGTCATCGGGATGGACTTCTATCTAATGGTATCCGGACTTTAAGTCTATCTTAGAGAAATACTTCCAACCCTGCACCCAATCTAAAAGATAGTCTATCCCGGGCAGCGGCTCAGCATTCTTCACTGTGATCGCGTTCAAACCCCTATAGTCTATACACATACGAAGCTCTCCTTCCTTCTTGGGGACAAATAAAACTGGTGTTCCAAAAGGAGACCAACAGGGCCTGATCCAACCTTTCTCAAGGAGTTCGTCTATTTGTTTGCGAACCTCCTCTAACTCTCTAGGGGACATCCTGTAGACTGCACCCTTAGGAGTTCTACTGCCAGGCTCTATCTCTATCCTGTGTTGGATGGGTCGCGACACTACTCCTGCCGGCGACTCAGTCAAGTCTTTGAATTCTTCCAGCAGCTTGGCAATTGTTGGATCTGTAGAACTATCCTTTTCCTGGGCCTCAGCGACAGGTCTGACATAAACTACAAAGACCTGGTCTTCTAACTGCTCCTTTACTAATCGCGCGAACGCGGGAACACTGAGACAGCAATATGCCAAGGTGTTATCTACACCAGACACATGAAACAAGCGGGCAGTCTTAACCTCGTCTGACGGACTAGGGAGCCTACACTCATGCTCTCTCAAATGAAGTATGGCCCCTGCTGCCTCTCCCCAATCCATTCCTAACACTATATCGAAAGGAAGGTCATCCTGCACGAGGAGAGTCAAAGAATGGAGGACCTTCTCCACTTTTCCATTCTTCTCTAGGCGAAAGTACGCCTGGACTCCCTCTACGTAGTCCTCAACTCGCATCGTGCGGTTGTCTGCGAGGATACGGACTATGGGGTCTAGTAACTTCTGGACCTTTAGTCCTAGCCTCAGCTTCTTCAGCGCCCTACGGCTAATGTAACTACGGGTAGCCCCTGAGTCTATAAGGGCCCCTACTCTACTTCTAAAAACCTCTACGTCTACCAAAATCAGTTGTCCCTTACTCTCTCTTTTCATTTTGGCCCAGGCTGGCATTCTCTCCTTTAACTTTTCTGCCACACCTGTGAGGGACGTGCCTAAAGAGACGCTAACACAAGCAGTCTCTGGACAGCTACCTAGGCACGGGCCTGCAACCTCTGCCATAGGCTCATGTGGGTTGGGAGTGTCCTGTTTGCGCGCACTCACTTCTCCACATGGCCTGGAAGTAGGGGCAGTTGCAACCCCTACTGGCGGCTGCCTTTTGACTGCTGGGCAGCCCAACGGGCCTGTCTATACTTTGGACAAAATTTAATTGCGTGGGCCGGGTCACCACAGAATACGCACTGACCCAGGTTCATGCGTTCCTGCCATAATCGCTAGTCCAAGCCCAAGTCTTCCCAGGGCTTGCCCTGCGGGAAGCCTGGGTGTTATCCTCCTTGAGGTGCCCTTCCACCTCCTCGCTGTGGGGACCGATTACCCTGGCGATTTAAAGGGGGACCTTGACCCCTACCTCCCGCTTGGCGGTTTCCCTGTCCGCCAACCCCCTGTGCGCCCGGTCCTCGGCCTCCCATGGTCTGGCCCCTTTGGCCCTGGCCTCCTCCTCCTCTACCTTGCGGCCTCCCTCCGGTCGTGGCAGCAGCGTAAGACCTCCCCTGCCCTACACTACTGTACTCCTCCCCTAGGCCCCACACAATCTGATCATATGAGACCTCTTTTGTACCACCCTCTTCTAATGTTAGGATCAAGTGATCCTTGGACTTGACTTGGCCCGAGATGGTACGATCTTTCCACTTCTTCCCCTTCTCCAGGTCCTTATGCCAGAAAGTGGTAACTGGCATAGACTTCGACTTATACAAAATGACTTCTCTACTCAATGCATCGTAAGTCATGCCGGTCTGCTGAGATTTGTCAAAGAAATGCCCGCGTAGAGCCTCTGGAATGGCACGATAAAACAATTGGTCCAGCTGGGGCTCAGTGACCCCGTGGTTCGGGACGGCAACCAAGTTGTCCATAGTACCCTTGAGTGCCTTGGCACTCCTCCATTGCCGGGAGTGGATCGTTTTCAGCTTATCAGAGGTTTTAATGCCTCGCGTTGGATCAGCAAACCGCTCCTTGAGGAGCTTGAGGAATAGGGGAAGAGGAGTGACTTTGGAATATGCAACCAAGTTGTTTTCACAACGGGCTGTACGCGCAAGAGACCTGGCGAAGCTAGCCACTTCATCTTTAAGGGCCTGGAAGGTCACAAGGACTTGTTCCTCAACCAGGATATGCTGCAAGTAAATATAACTATTGACACTGGCTTCCCAATTGTCAAAGTTTTCTTCTTTCTTTCCCCCGTACGCGTCTGGGAACTTGAGCTTTACAGGGTCCTTACGGGGTCTACCCTCGCCATTTGCAGCAGCTATGGCTTTGGCACCCTCAATGGCGCCTTTGCAGTACTTGCCTACGTTGTCCCTCAACTGTTTCACTTCGCCCCCAATGTGGGTGACGATTTCGCGCGCAAACTCCCTAAATCCGGACCGCATGGCGCTCAAAGTTACATCCTGGCTCCAACTTGCCTGACGCTCCTCCATCCAGGCCTTGCTTAATACCTCTAGGTACCCCAGTACCTTGTCCCA